CTCTCGCGCGTCGACCGACCCGGATTCACGCACGTCTCTTCGACTCGGCAGGGCCGAGAGAGGATAACCTCTCTCTCTTAGTAGTACCCTCAGTTTAATCGCGTACGAAAAAATAGGGGGGTGCTTTTATCGAGAAATAGTAAGAAAAATAGAAAGAAAGAAGAGAAGAAAGAAAAGGAAGAAAGAAAGAAAGAAAGGAAGGAAGGAAGGAAGGAAGACAAGAGGATTTTTTTTCGATGATCCTTTCTTCGAATTAATCGATTCATCGAAGTCGAATATATACGCGTGGTGCGCGTCAAATATTCACGGGTTTAATTGGACAACATATTTCGTTGCTTATCGGAATCCACCCCATCCTCCCCTCCCACAACCCATCCTACCCCACCTCTCATCCCATTATCCTAATAATTTAATCCCTCCACGTCCACACGACGCCCGCACGAATCCACCTCCCCCCTCCTTCCTTCCCCCTTTTCATCGATATAATAGGAGCTACGAGCTAAGACAAGAGAAAATTGTTTATACGTCGTCGTTATATTTTCTTGGATACGCCGATACGGGAACGTTCGTAGTGAGTAATAAAAGTGATTATACGAAATTTCGTGGAACTTGTTTGTTGTTGAGTTTCTTTTTTTTTCTGTATATATATATATATATATATACATACATATATATATACATATATATATATATAAATATATTTATAAATATTTATTTATATATATGTATGTATGTACGTATGTATCATATATATATATATTATATATGCATATATATTCACGTGTATACATATTCATATATTTTTTTCTCCGTTCTTTGACAAGTGTGAGATAAAATGAGATAGTGTTTGTTTCCTTTAAAAGCGGATGGATATATTGTCATGGACAATTTCGTATGGAACGATTTACGAGTAGTGAAATATCTATAAAAAAAAAGAGATACAGGAAAGTATATATATATATATATATACACACATACGCAAACACACTCATTCATATACACATATATATATTATATATATATATATATGTATATATAGATGAAGAGAGAGAGAAAGTTCTAAACAGGGATGAACAAATTGTATCTGACGTTGCAACGTAAATACAAGATGGCCGTCGTTCGTTACGGGGGTATGCGGAACGCCCTTAGCATCGTGTCGTTCGAAGTTCCACGTGTTTTTATTATGTCAACGACGAAGTTCGATTGAAATGTAGTGTTTACGATCGACAAAGACAAGAATCGAAGAGAGAGAGAGAGAGAGAGAGAGAGAGAGAGAGAGAGAGAAAGAGGGATAAGGGGAGAGAAACAAAAACCAAAAGAACAAAAAAAAAAAGAAAAGAAAAGAAAAGGAAAGGAAAGAAAAGAAAAGAAAAAAAAGATCGTTCGAAATTATCCCATTATGTTTTCTTGTTTACGATACAAGTTTCATTGAATTCAATAACTATCCTAAACGTCCTTACGGGATAAGGATCTAAACGGGGGCGCCCGCGCGCGCGCGCGCGCATTTGTTATTGTTATTATTGTCGTTCGTGCTAGTGGATATCAATAGTATAGTATTATCGACAAGAACGGTAGCCATAGAAGATGTCGGAACACGGTGATAGCGACGTAGACGCGACGGAGGAGATAAACGTCGACGATTCCGATTCACGTAGTTGCAGTCCAAGAAATTATCCTAATCAAGAGGAGCGACGGAACGTTGTACAAGAGAATTCGGAGTGTTCAAATTCGCCGCCACCAAGTCAGACGAGTTCTAGGACGGTACAGAACGAATCACCACGTAGCCACCCCTTCAGTATAAGTCGTCTCTTGGGAGATAGTCAAAGACAAAATACTAAGAGTTCCTCGTCCGAGGAGGAACTCGATAGCGACAAAGAAAGGAAATGGTCCTCCTGGGAGGAAGGGAATAATAATAATAATAATAATAACAATAACAATAATAATAACAATAATAATAATAATAATAATAATAATAATAATAATAATAACAATAACAACAATAACAACAACAGCATCAATCATCGCGTTAGTTCATTGGCTACGTTGGACGACGGACGACGTTCATGGGGCCAAGAACTCGAAGAAAAATTGTCCGAGAAGGACGATGACGATACAGGGAGCACAGCGGAAACGACGCAAACGACGAATTCAACGTCCTCGATTCACTGCACGACAGCGGCCGATCTTCTCGCACCGTTCAGATTATTTCCAACCGGTTCGAGTCTTATCTATACAGGCGGCGGCGTCATAAGGGTGCCTGCACACCGACCACCCGGTGCCAATGGCGCACCAACCGGTGGTATACCTGCTCAAGCACTTATACCACCATGGAGCTTGCAAGCACTTCAGCATAGTCAGCAACAGGCAGCGGCGGCGGGCTTGCATAGGGCGAGTTTGCTCGCCAATTTAGCTGCACATCCGTTACAAGCGCATCCGCATCTTAAGGACAGGCTAGCAGGTGAGGGAAAAGAAAAAAACACACACACACACATTTTTTTTTTATGTCAGATCAGATCAGATCAGATCAGATCGGTTCAAATTCAGTTCAGTTCAGTTGATTTTATTTCACTTTAATTAAGTTAATTCAATGTCAGAAAGATCGTTGCCCATATATACATATATATATATATATATATATATATATATATATATATATATAGGTACATAGGAGTATGTAAGGTGTAGGTAATATACATATAGGACTTGTTCGATGCAAAGGAATAAATGTTCAGTATACGTACGAATGTCTTAACCTATTATATTAAAATGTACTAGATACATTTACGATTCCCAACCGAGGGAGCGGCCTAAAGCAAAAAAAAACAAAGAACATTATCATATAACGTAGTTACATAGAAGGTTAATAATATCTACGTTACTCTTAAATTATGCTTTTCAATTCCTATAATCGGGCTATTATGCTCTCGTTAACATGAGTCACACTACGATGCACATAGAGAAACATTAAGTACAACGTTCGTTTATCGTTTAGACAGAAAGAGAAAGAGAGAGAGAGAGAGAGAGAGAGAGAGGGGGAGAAGGAAGAGAGAGGAAAAAAGAGAGAGAAATAGAGAATAATGAAGTTCTTAATGGACGTGACGCGTTTGTGTGTGCTCTGGCAGCCTTCTATAATGTTGTTACATATATTTTTTTCATTTTTCTTCCTCTTTTTTCTTTTTCTTCTTTTTTGAGAAAGAAAAAGAGAGAGAGAGAGAGAAAGAGGAGGAAAAATGTAGGATATTAATGTAAGGGCATTAGCAACGATAGATAAGTGTTTAGGTAAAACTTATACGCTATCTGACAATTTCGTAGCACCTGCTTTTTAGTAATAAAGACAGTTTCCACTTGCGTCATCTTATTTTACACTTAAAGTCCCGATTCTTTTTAATTAATTCGATTATAGTAAGAGTTGAAGAAGAGATTAAAAAGAATAAAAAAAAAAAAAAAAAAAAAAAAGAAAGAAAAAAAAGAAAAAAAAAGGAAGAAGGAAAAGAGGAACAAGAAAGAGAGGAAAGAGAGAGAGAGAGAGAGAGAGAGAGAGAAAGGTCGTTTGAATATCAAACAGGAAGAGAGGGGGAAAGGAGAGAGCGAGAGGGGACGATAATCAGCCAATTTCGATGATCGTGTCGAGAATAAACTCTCTTCATTGCATTTACATATACAACATCTGGACGAACATATAAAGTCGATAAAAATTAAAACGAATTGATTCTATCTCTCTCTCTCTCTCTTTCTCTTTTTTTCTCTCTCTCTCTTTATGCTTTCGTTATATGAGTCTAACGTTAATCCACATACTTAGCCTGTAAAATACACATCTCAATATATATCATTTCAGCTTTAGGAAATTTTAAACGGACACGAATATTAAATCGACAGAAGCTTTATCGCAAAAAGCCATTTGCTCGGTTGGTCTTTATGCAACATTAATGCTGTAATTATTATCGTAAATTGGAATATGAAATCATACACGTAGATATCTATAAACGATAATGTCGATATAACTGATTGGATATGGAAGGTATGAGAGAGAGAAAGAGAGAGAAAGGAAGAAAGATAGATAGATAGATAGATAGATAGAAAAGGAGAAAGAAAAAGAAAGAGATGGCGTATAATTCGTGCAATTACTAAAATTGTTAAGGGTGAGGTGGGATGAGATCGAATGGGATAAAATGGGAAGGGGGAAGGGGTCAGGGGGCATTATTCATTTCGAAATGATATCCTTCTGGGATTGGAGCAACGACCGAACATCGTCATAGCTCCTGTGTCACGATCAAGTGACGAAATATAAGAGAAAGAGAAAAGAGATGTTGGAGAAGAAGGAGAAAGAAGAGAGAGAGGAGGTGGGTTAGAATAGAGTTCTGGGATTCTCGTGTCGTTGATCGGTGATATCAATTTCTCTAATTGGGCTCGTATATCTTTAGCTTGTTATCTCTTTCGCTCTCTTTCATTCTCTATATCTATATCTCTGTCTTTCTTTGCTTTAAGTATCTATCTGCTGGGCGTAGGTGTCTCGTAAGAGAAGGATCAACCTATAGTAGGTACGTTGCCATGGATGAAGAAGAGCAAGAGAGAGAAAGAGAGAGAGAGAGAGAGCCCACCAGCTCGTAAGCTCACCATATATAGGTGATATCAATTATGAGCCGCTTCGAAATTATTCACTCGGAGCCGTCGTTACGATTCGCGACGGGCGACGAGTTGAAATCCGTTGAAAACTCGCACATTCGGTATTACGGAACCTGTAATATTTTAATAGCGCGAAGACAGCTCCGAGTCATCTCTTACGTTATGTGTATATATATATATATATATATCCAATATCCTACGCGTCTATGTCTGTAATGTAACTACGTATATACGTAGTATATATATATATATATATATGTATGATTGTAGGTAGTATATACATGTCTCTCTCGTACATATAAAAACAGATGTAACTATATAGGCAGTTACATTAGATAAGGAAGTTATACAAATCTATATATATATATATCGATATATCTATAATAATCTAATATAATAAATCTATATATAATTAATTATATGCAAGTATTTGATTATGTCTCAAAGATATTTACTTACTTACGTTCGATATGATTTCTTTTTTCTCTTTGTTGAGAAGAAATCGAAAAAGATCCGTTCTGAAATTTATGTCTTATGAAGAACGAGCGAGCCGTGTTTAATATCATTTTTAAAGTCAACCCAGTATTTTAAACCAGTTCCTGAACGTTTCTCTCTCTCTCTCTCTCTCTTTCTCTTTGTTTCCCTAATAAGAAGTTGGATTTGTGATTGAGAAAAAAGAGGAAAGAGAAACAAAAAAAGAAAAAATAAAAAGAGAAAAAAAATATTGGAAAATTAATATCTATACTGTTATTATATTAACATGTTAATATAATAATGCCTTTCGTTGTTCGTGTTTGGCGTGGAAGGAAGGAAAGGAGGGAGATTTTAATATCGGGTACATACACGATCGTTATTTGTGTTGAAACTCGTAAGGGTACGGGTACGGTCATTATACGAGAGACTCGTTTTGAAATTTGTGCTTTTAACCTAATGACGATAACTCGATGTTATATATTTCAATAGGTACGTAGAGAGAGGGGGAGGAAATGGGAGAAAGAGAGAGAGAGAGAGAGAGAGAGAGAGAGAGAGAGAGAGAGTAATGGAGGGTGGTGGGTAGGGGGTAAACTGAAATCTTACGGAAACGAGAGAAAGAAAAGGAAAACAAAAAAGACAAAGAAAAAAGTAGACCAAGTAGAAGAGGAGAAAGAAGAGGAAGAAGAAGAAGATGGCTAGAGGGGTATAAGATATTGAGCTCGTCCTACTTCTAAGTACGTAAATAATAATTCGTACTTGTTTCGTTGCGCCTGAGGGGACGATGACGAGAGAGAACGAGAAAGAGAAAGAGAGAGAGAGAGAGAGCGAGAGAGAGAGAGAGAGAGAGAGAGAGAGAAAGAAAAACGTTAATTTGCTTGAATCGCAAAAAAAGGAGAGTAACGAAAGCATCGGCGCGTAAGGGATTATTACGCGGCTTGGATCATTCCGCGTGCTCGCGAACGAGATACAGAAAGAGAAAGAGAAAGAGAAAGATAAAGATAAAGAGAAAGAGAGTATAGGAAGGCGAACGTTGAAATACAGGTACGTGCAAAATACATAATTAGTGTCTACCACTCCTGAAGCTGAATTCTCGATGCTGACTTTTTCGTGCAGGTAATGAAACCCGCCATTACTTGGGTGGCGTGAGTAAAATGTATTTGTGCGTACGAACAACATTGCTCTTCCTTGATTATTCCTTTCAAAGTATGTTTATTGCTGTAGTAAGAGAAAGACAAACGGACAGATAGAGATAGACAGATAAATATATATATATATATATAGATAGATAGAGAGAGAGAAAGAGAAGGAGAAGTAGAATGATATAGCAAGTTCAACACGCTACTATAGTAGTAGGAGTGAAAAGAAACAAAAGTGGTAATCGTTAAGGTCTCTGCTATTGTGCGACGGGCGAAACTTCATATTGCCAATTAGCCTCCTCCTTTCTATCCCATCGCCCATCCCCTCCTTCTCCCACGTTAATTTCGTTGCTCATTAAATTCATTTTATTTCTTTACGTCGATATATGTCAATTATTGTCGAGATATTATACATAACGATGAACTTATTGATTCGTTCGAGGTCACGAAAATTTTCGTCGATTATCTCCGCTCTAGATTATTTCTCTCTCTCTCTCCCTCTCTCTCTCTCTCTTTCACTCTCTTTCTCTCTTTCTCTTTCTCTCTTTCTCTCTCTTTCTTTCTTTTGACAGAGAATAAATACTTAACGATATTATCCTCGGGAATGAAGTTTTGCACAGTGAATGTGTTACCACGACATGATAACGAGAACATGAAAGGAAACGGGAACGTGAACAGGAATGGGAATGGGAACGAGATTGAGAACGACAGAAAATTGTTTTGACTTAAATTTACTTGTTACCATATTTTATACCTATCCGATAATAATGTATCGTGAAATAGGATGCCTACGCCACTGAAGTCCTTCCACCTTTAAATGCAGCCTCGGCCGATTCTACGAAGACTCTTAAACTCGCGTCAATGCATTCGTTTTCGTGCGAGGGAGAAAAAAGAAAGAGAAAGAGCGAATAAGACAGAGAGAGAGAGACAGAGAGAGAGAGAGAGAGAGAGAGAGAGAGAGAGAGAGAGAGAGAGAGAGAGAGAGAGAGAAAGAAAGCGTCCATCTCCGTACCAACGATCACTATTAAATACTTAACCTTTGCCATAAAGCAGATAAGGGGAAACGCATTGCGTTACTTACATATATATTGTACGTACACACATATGTACATATATACATATACATATATATCTTTTTTTATTTTTGTTTTTATTTTCTTTTCTTTTTTCCCCGAAAACGTATTTAGTTTTGTCCATTTGCATCGATACATATTTTACGTTGGTC